ATTTTGCTCAAAAGGTTCCTTCTTCTTCTTTTCCTTTTTTTTTTTTTTTTTTGGGCTAGTTCTCTTGCCATGGTCTTTTTCTGCTATCCCTTTAATTATTCAATCAACATCTGTCTCCAACAGATACTCCCAGTTATGCTACATGTTGATAGCAACAATCAAAAGCTCGTTGAAGACCGGCTTTGTGAGTAAAATGTGTACACTATTACTTAGATCTTTATAAATTGTTTCCTCTTATGATATGCGCTTTAGAACATTCTTTTGTGAGTTGTTTGTGATACCTTTTGACATTTTTGACTCACAGATTTAGGGGTTAGACAACCTAGGTTGGAAGGTGAAGAATATTTATCGATTGTTGGTGAATTCATGGAAGCAGTTGTCAAACGTTGGCCCAAGGCTATCATACAGGTATATTTCTTTAAGAAGTAGAATTTTATGTGGCATGTGTTATATTTGTGTCTACCAAGTTGTTAATTGAATGGTTATGCATTTCAGTTTGAGGATTTTCAAATGAAGTGGGCCTTTGAAACTCTGAAACAGTATCGGAAAAGGTTTTGCATCTTCAATGATGACATACAGGTTAGTTCATAGTGAAACGTATTGCATTTATATGGATTAAAGGAGCAGCGAATGTACATTTTTGTTTGATTATCATACTTCCAGAATGAATGTCCTCAGTGAATGTGTTATAGGGGACTGCTGGTGTTGCACTTGTGGGATTATTGGGAACTGTTAGAGCACAAGGTCAACCATTGGCTGACTTTGCAAACCAAAAGATAGTTGTTGTGGGAGTTGGAACGTACTTGCAACAGTCAATTATAACAAGCTTATAACTGAAACTTAGTGCTTTCAATGTTTCTCTGTGTACATCCTTGTAGCCTTCTTTTTCATCTTATTCAATTTTTGTGGCTTCCAGACTCCAGTGCAGGGTTGGGTGTTCTTAACATGGCTGTGCAGGCTGTTTCAAAGATGACAGCAAATAATGAAACAGCTGCACGCAATTTTTTCCTAATTGATAAAGATGTATCATTCTCAGCTTTTAAACTTCAGCAATCTTTTCTTTCTCCTTTGCATACCCTCCTCTATGTTCTTTATGACATCTAATTGGTCTGTCCCGTTGATTAATGTAATGCTTGGAATCTTGGATGATCATACCAAAAAAAACCGACAATTACTTTGAAATAATGTAATTGTTTCATTGGTTTTCTTTTATTCATGCAAACTCTACTTTGGCTGTGGGAATACTCTACAGTTGGCTATGCACAGATTTTAAAGCATCATTATTTGTCACTTGTGCAGGGTCTTATTACGAAAGAAAGGAAGAATCTTGGTCCACCGCCAATATTGAAACAAACCAAACAGCGCGCAATGAATAACAAACCCGAACCAACTTCTCTTTTTCTCCCTCCCTTCTACCCGACATCGTTCCCAAACCCTACATAACACTTTCCAGTCTTCTTTTTTTTTCTCATCTCCATTCACTGATATATTCATTGATTTCCTCGACCTCTGCATTTCTAAAGTTAATTAATTTGTTTACTTTTAATTTTTCCAATCTAATGGAGACTAACTCTCAAACCCTCGAACTCACGGTATTGTCGGCGGGAGATCTCCGAATTAACAACAGAAATCTGAAAAAGAATGCCTTCGTCGTCGTTTCGATCGACCCCTTCAAATATCGGATCACCAAGACTGACGCCCAAGGCGGAGGATATCCTACTTGGAACGAGAAGTTCGTCATGGACTTGCCTGCAAGGGAGCGTTTCATCATCCTGGAAGTTAAATGCAGTACTTCCTCCGGAGATAGAAGGGTAGGTTAGGCCAAGGTTCCCGTTTCCGAGTTTATAGGAGGGTATGTGCCGGGGGACTGCTTGCAGTTTTTAAGTTTCAGGTTGGGGGATGCGACGGGGCAGCGAAACGGGATAATAAATTTCTCGTTAATAATGCAACGGCGGCGGTGGGGATGAGAAAATTTCAAATTGATGGGACGGGGAACTTCAGTGGAGTTGTTAGGGGGATTCCTGTTTGGAGTGTAACTCGTTAATAATGCTCTCTGTTTGAAATTGTGTATATCACCAATTAAGAATGAAATAGATTAAAAAAAAATAGAGATTTTTATTTTGATTAAATCTCAATTTTAGTTTTTAAATTTTAATTTTTAAATTATATTTATCTCTAAATTATTTTACACATTTTTGTTTTCAACCCCGCAAATGATATATTTTTCTTTTTTTTTCCTTATTTAAGGTTTTAGACCTATCCAAAATGTCAATATATATATATAATTAATAAGTCATTATAAAATTGACTTATTTTGACAAATAAAATGTCAAATCAAAT